TTGGTTTTAATTTTTTTTGGTGGACTATCCATTTAACTCTACAAAGTGTGACAAATATGAGAAGAAAAAAAGGGGAATAGAACAGAAACTTTACCCTGATCTTCAGAACTGCACAATCCCCAAATTTGTCTGGACTGGAGTTTAAGATCAGGATCACTCAAATCTAAATTTCACAAGACTTTAGACATTAAATTAGATAACTATCCTTCCTTAAAACCACATCCTTGACACCCAAAGCCATGAAAGCAAACACCCACAGAAAATGATAGCATCTGAGAGCATTTCTGATTGGCTAAATATGGGTGGGCTGCTCCCCTGACACATTTTTGCTGTTTTTGAGTTTAGGGAGAGACGGGTGTGATTTCTCAGGACTCAGGTTTTTTGGTTAAATAGATCTGTGGTTAACAAAAGCTTAAGATATTTTCACGCTATGACTTAAAATACATCAGTAATACACTGTGACTTTTTAAAGCTTTAACTTGTCTTGAAAAAGGCGGTTGGCTAAAGGAGAACAGAGGTGGTCTGGGACATTAAATGTCATCACGTCAAACAGGTAAACTCATCTACTCACTAGTCTGCTTTTACAGGCTCACAGGAAAGGAAAATGTCTTTAAGTAAAGAATGAATGAGTTGTCTGAAGTATCGTGATGGTGAAGATGAAGTCATGCGACAGTGGTGTAGTTCATTTATAGCCTACATTTAACTTTTTACTTCCGGTGATTGGATTCAGGATTCAGGCTTCAAAATTTCTAGAAGTTGTTCATTTGTGAAGATAATTATAATGAACAAAACATGTAACAATGATAAGCCTTTGTTGGTCACAGAGCTTACTCTCCACAGTAACCCGGAAGTCTATGGAAAAATCGTATTGGGTTTATTGAGGAAACCAAGGCCTACAAAAATATGTCATCACCGCAGCGCTTTATTTAATGTTATTTTTATTCAAAATTAAATTGTGTCCGTCACACTTACGATGAATTTATGATCCTGTGTTATGGATTTTGCCCCACAGATTCTGTATTTGTCTTATCTCATGCTAAAACTGTCAACATGAGAAACCTGAGGTCTTCATGCTCACACGCGATGGTCGTCTGACAAACCATCCTGAAACCTTTACAATGACTCATAAATCTTTCTGATGCAACATTGGGTATGGCATTACATACTTCACAATTACCTCTTTTGTTATGTATTTTGCCTCCTAAATCAGTATGTTAAAATATCTGTGTAGACTTTTGTCACCAGTTTTGTACTGTGTGTCAATAAAACTGTGTATATTTTGAACAGATTCCCTTAAGTATGAGTTATGGCACCAATTTCCATAAGTTGTGGGTAAGAATGTGTGGGTACGGAGCCATGTGCCACTAGTTTCACTTAGTCAGACAGCGAGTGAATCTCATATCTGGAATTCAGCTGTCTGTTTATATGATGTATGAAGTGTGGCAACATCCTCTTTAGTTAAATAGAAATACATGATGAACAGTTCTGAACACAAGGCAGGTTTTTTTTTGGGGGGGGGGATGCACAAATGTGCTGTACTCTATCAGGCTTATCAGGGTAAGACATTCTGCACGTTTAGTGTAAAATAGAAAATAAAACCCCAACTGTGTTTTAAACCAACAGGAAAAGTCTGGCGATCACATCAACACCTGCTTTGTGGTGACATGCTGCGGTATATATGGTGTTGTTTAGTGCTACTGCCAGCTACTAAAATTTCTGCTACCTCTGGTAGTAAATCACAATTTAGAAATTAATAAAATGTGATCATGATAAAAGGACAAATAACACTGGGGGCCTCAAAAAAAGCTATATAAATCAATCTGAACTACTTTCTCTCTAATAAAGTGCGTAGTTGCATTGTCTCCGCCGTGTTCGCTTAGTCTCTTTTAAACGGTTGCTCTTAATCTAAATCAACTACATTCTTGACCACATGGCTCTTGATGCACTTTAACCTCTGCTAGACCTTTTTTGAAGAAGCTTGAAAGGAACATTTTTGGACAGTTGTTATAGGTTCATGTGAATCATAGCATTACAGTTTATTTTGTATCATCCCTCAATAATTATTACAATGGTTTGCCATGTGTTTGTAGGCTAGGCTAGTTCATCCTTTTTGTGGTATAGAATGAATATGTTTCCTTCTGTAACCAGCAGATGGCGCCAGAATATTTCATCATATCTGAGTTTTTATTGGGGGGGGGGGGGGTAGGTTATTTAGAGGGGAAG